CTATATCATCTTGAAGAGCACATTGAAATTAATAATATCCCCAAGTTTGGTTTAGTTTAGATGACTATCTAAGAACTTGAAGATGTTCAAAAATGTTAAATTTTACAAAGGAATGTAGAGATTGTGTGGAAACCATTCCCCACGGCGATGGAACGACCAACAATGCACTTCGGTCTTGAACTACACTATTTATTCACTATCCAACGTTTCATGAAATAGCCATATATTAGACAAATATATTACACCTTAGAGTCAATTTCGTATGAGTGGGAAACATACGGTAGAAATTACCGCAAGGTTACTGCACAGTTAGCGGACCTGGTCTGCACAATTTTTGTGAAGCAATGAGACACTAGAATTTGGTTACAGTACGATTACGGCTACAGTACAGTGCAGTCCGTTTCACACTCATACAAAATTGACTCTATAGTACGTTTCATGGATTCAAGGACTTCACAGTACCAAATAGTGTTATGAGTAATGTTGATTAGACACTGGGATAATAAAGGGATTATACGCATAATTCAGTAGCACTTAGTAATATGCGGTTAAAAATTGGTTAAATATTGCATAAAACAGGTTGCTGTCTTACATGAACGACATCAATGCCAGTACTTCTTTGCCGCAAGCTTTTTTGATTTTTTGTTGTTGTTATTTACATTTGAATTTTTAGTTTCATTGTTGGCTGATTTAATATGATTGCTGCTTGGTTTTGCTACCAGCCATCTTTCTTTTGCCGGTTTTTCCGTTTAAGACTGAAGACTCTCCTGGTAGCAGCGTTGCTCAGTCTTTAACAGCGCAGGCAGTGAATTGATCCACACAGCGATTTTTGCAACGGGTAGTGGTTACCCAGAACAATACCGATGTATTCACTCCAGTTCACGTACACGGTTTCTCTGTACCTCCAAAAGGCTTATAGCCTTCAAAGCCACTAAAGCCAGGGTATCCAATTGCAACACCAATGACATGAAGATACTGCGCATGCCCTTGAAGGTACAATGAGTGGTTACCAGGTCGAACACGAGCTCCTACTGGAACAACACGAATGAACGTTAAATCATAACCAGGTTTAGTAATCGATATTTCAGTGCAATAGTTAATGTTGTCATTTAGCCAGACCTTGATAGAAAATCGCGATGTTTGTTTGAACTTCAAAATAGCAACGACTGAATAGAGCTCTTTTGGTTTATCATGACTGTYAATTGTAAAGTTTGCTTTAAGACGGACGTGACCGGGTTTTGCTACCCATCCGCCACTGGCATCCAGTCTCCAATGTGCATGAGGTTTAAAACTTGGTTCCGTCCCTGGAGAGTAGAATTGAAACATATGAAAATGAACAACACGAATCGAAAGCGTTTGCTTTAAAGGTAGTTTCCAGTTTGGAGTTAGCTCTGCATAGCATCTAGCTTGTGATAATTGGCTATCACTTATAGCGGCTGTTGTAAAAATAGGAGCTTTAAGAGGACCAGAATGATGTCCTGGGAAATATTTCCCATTGTTTTCAATTAACATCTTCGTTAGGTATTTGACAATCATAACAGCAATCTTGTGATGAGCTTTTTCACTGACGTGATTTCCAAAACGTACGAACATATCAAGTTTAGAATTGTCAAGGAATCTGGTACCAGAGCTAGTTAACGGACATACGAAATCTTTCATGGTAATGAAAGGAATTCCATAGTGCTTTGCAAGCTCATCGAACCCGAAATCTTGCATGTTTTTGCATTGCACATTTTTGATTTTGCCATTCTGTTGATTTGGGCTGACTAAATTGATATATATAATCAATGGCTTAGATGGGAGTAATAGTAGTCTTCGAGTCAGTAGTTCCATAGGTTGAGCACCTTTTCCATATTGGTTACATCTATCGTTAACTGCTTCATCAATTAGAATTATATCAACTGGCYTTTCAGGCAAAAAGTTTTGGAAGCAAAATGAAAACACATCACTTGCTGTATTTCCAATACCAAGGCCGTACGACGTCATAGTTGACCCAGTAACCTGGTACATATCTTTGTTCCACAAAGCAGATGCTTGATTGAAGTAGGTTTGCTGGAAGCTTTCCAAGTCACCGCCAGCGGTATTTGACCCTCCAATAGCAACCATTGTCAACGGTTGTCTTTTGTTAATTTTTCTGAGAAAGTTTGGAATTCCTGGAGATTGGGTAGTAGTGACTTCGGTCATTTGAGTTAAAAATGCTGATGACCTGTGCAGAAAGGAATTTCAGCAGCTCAGTAAAAAAGGTTCAAAAACATTTATAAATGTGGTCAAATATCGATGTATTAGTTCATTGAATCAGTTTTCATTTTTATTTGTGGTGTTGTATATCTCACATTGCCTTGACATTGTGGAATTCAAGAATAATACCAAGAAATCAACTCCCTTCCCCTCTCCCTGAGATAATAACTCTCCCCAATCTTCCCTTAGTTCGATCAATTGCTATATGATCTTGAAAGCAAGTACGTTCTCCTTATCAAGTAATGTGTACAACATGAGCGGCCGTGTTGTATGGTATTTTACAATCTCGAGCCTAATTGTAAAGCCCATACAACACGGACGCGAATGTTGTAAATTACTTGTGAAACGTTTAGGTGTATACATTCATAATCTACTAAAAACTTAAAGATAAAATTGAATTTGTCTGAGAAAATTAGATTTGAAGTTTATGCAAATCAAGAAAGTTTTGTATCAAATATTGCAACACTCTCCACGGTTGTGATTTGTTTTATCCTCATTAATTATTCATGAGTTTTACAAAAAAAAGTTATTGGTCTGACCACTACATCACTTACCAATTGTCCAATAAGCGCTTTATATTGTCTTTCACAGCATGTTTACCTGAGGCTTTCAAGGCGTAGCAAATCTGAACAACAATGAACAACATCAAAATATTGATGTGTTCTATTTTCATTGTCTTATTATTATTTTTTTGATATAACCATCTAAAAAATATAATAAGAATAACACTTTTAGTTCCGAATGAGTCATGAAGAAATTTATCATATAATTATCTATAAAATACCAATATTCGCTATGCTCACTCGTGAGAGTTCTTATTAACACTCGAAGATAAAATCCGTACCGCTTCATACCCATGTAATATCCTCTATATAATCGTATATGCGTATGATTAAATAACCACGCATTCGTCTTTATAAAGTTTGGGTGTAAAGTGTGTATAACGTCTGTTAAACATAAACTGCACAAGTRCGGTAACATCCCAAGGAAATGATTTAGCTCGAGTTTTGACTCGAACCTACACGAAGTCAACTTTACACTTATAAGGTGTTGGATTATCAGTTCATTTAGAGTGATTCAGGATTAGTCTTCTTGCGCTTTTTTGGTTGAATTGCATTCTTGAATTCATTGTTTTCATGGTAACCAAGTCAAATAATCTACGTCGTAAATTTTAACCTTATCTTGGATACACCTAATTGAAGAAACGTTGTCGGGTCCAAAAAGGTCAAATCATAGAAGCTAAGACGGAAAGGGCTCTTGGGAAGACAAACAATTTGGATAATTTCATAACAAACAGCTCTCCAGCATAAAAGACTATCATGCTGTTAATCTTACAAGCTCTACTTGCTTAGTGYACACCGTATATGCAAATGTAATCCCAATTTAGTGGTACTCAAAATCCTTTTCGGTCTTCTATGATGTGACCTTTTCGAACACGACTACGTTTTTTCAATTAGGTGTAYTTCATCGGATCTATGTCAAAAAGTCTTGTAAGGAGTGTTTGGGATAAGATATCCACACTAATATATTTAGCTTTGTTATCTTCAAAGGGATTTATTGAGTAGTATAATTCACAGGTWTTTATTTTGACTGAATCCAAACTTAATAAAAAATATAATAAGATACAAAAGGAATCTTATCAGAATTCCAATGTCAAAAKCTCTTAAATTCGATTATTTTAGCTTATACTTCTTCATGTGCTCATAAGGACAAGTACGGTTGAACGGTTTGTGTTTACTGTTCAAACTTCAACTACGGAGCATTATCTAATGGCTTGTCCATAAAGGAATCGGTCACCGGTGACCGGAAGTTTGCTTCGAGTAACTTTTAAGAGCTAGGTTACACTTTCAACTGGAATTTACAAAATTATTAAAAGGAATTGCTAGTAAGCCCGTCTCTAAATATAATGGCATTTTTATTGGTGCGTCCAGTCTGGACCAGTCTGTCTAAATGATGTCAAATCTTATTGTAATACTAATTATATTGCCCTGTCTAGTTAGATTCAATTATTAACCAGCGCACATAATAATAATAATAATTAAAAAACGGTAATCTAGTATCAAAATATTTTCAGAATGAATATATGTTTTGAATCAACTTACCAATTGCTATCATGTCTCACTCGTCAGTAAATGATCTAACATTGCTMATTCTATTTGCAGGTGTGCGTATTGTTTCTACAACCCTGACCTGCAAAGTTCATATATCTCACCTGGCATCATGACATTCAGATAGTTAAACATTTTACTTTATTTTAATGTATCCGAAGCCAGCAGCAATATATTCTGTTAAACGATCTAAAAACGAAAAAATAATTGATCATCTGCATTGTACCGAAAAATGTCCAGTGAAATAAAAAAAAAAAGTCGAAAGAAATGTGGTAGARGGTGCAAAAGCAAAGAAACGATATGCCCACGTTGTTTGGACGGGTAGGACTTTGTTTACGGATTTTTTTAAAGGAACTTTTTTTAAAGTGCGTTGAGCACTCTCTATTTAGAAGCGTCTAGCCATCGTGTTTAATTTTCCAGTGATGGTATTGGATGTTAGTAAAATTAATAATAATAATGATAATAATTCTTTATTCCATAAATACCAGAAATGGTAAATTAGAACATAAAAAAATTAACTTAAGAAAGATAAACTATAGCTGTTTAAATTATTGTATAGATTTAGAACATTTAAGCAGTTATGCTTAAATGTGTCGTCTTTTATTGGTAAGATYCAAAGTCCTATTCCAAGACAAACTACTACTTCTGATCAACTTTGTAGCTTCACCTTGCCGGTAGAGGATTTTGAAACTCTCTCCAACGATCGACAATGTTTCTGCGGGCACTTTTTTCTATTCCAACCCCTGCACAYATTGCACAGGTAGCTCGCGTTAGTAGGAGGGGCTGTACTAGAGTTAATCGTCACCGTCATATGTTTATAATTTTCAGCTGTCAATCATCAAACCGTCAATRTTTTAACCGTCAAGACGTAGACAAAATAAGATACTAGATTTTTTTATTCTGTATACACCCCTCCCATGGGAACTGGTCTCCCACAATCCCTTGGCTGCGCGGCCAAGTATATCCTGACATCCTCACATAGATTCCATTGCCAGCTTTCATGTCCGAGCAGTCAATATTTCAAAAATTATAGCCATTCAAAAACTCAGATCTCTTATTCGAGTGTACATCATCTATAGATTATGGAGAATGCTTCCCCCATAATCTATACAATCTTTTGTAAAATTTAAAATTTTTGAACAGCTTCAAGTAATTAGATAGTCATCTTAACTAAACAAAACTTCAAGAGGACATTATCAATTGCGATGTGCTCTTTAAGATGATATAGGTAACTTGGCGATTTTTGCAATTTTAAAACTCGAACCCAGCCTCCTGCTCGGACATGAAAGCTCGCAATTGGTTTCCAATTTTACTCCTGTTTCAGGCTGATATCCCTTTTCTCGGGGTGAAAATGAACAATTCCGATTAAAAGAAAATAAGAACAACGTGAATTTAACATTACATCTGTTGTTTAACGAGTCTCTGGGGATAGAATGACAGCATGCGAGCTTCACAAACTTAATTGAACACTGATTCTTTATACATCAAGTATAGAATAGATAAATATAACACAGATTTTGGAGGTTTTTTTTATTCCTCTGGGCTATAACCCTTGTTTCTACGTTTTTTAGCATGACTACACAGCATTCCTGCGACATTTACAAACTGGGCTGAACAGACATATCTCATCATACACAACATATGATAAATACTTAAATCATGGAGGCGGGACTCCATTGTGTATTGAATCTTTTTGTTAATTGCTGCAATGACAAACACAATGGTCCCAAGGGCGGGGCTGCACGGGTTTAAAATGAAGCGTTCACACGACCAAACACAGCGTTTAATGATATTAGCAAAAAACGTTTATGCTTTACTCGCCGTTTATTGCTTCTGGCACGAAGGACGGTTATCTCTTAAGCACAAACGCACAGTCTGGGAATTCAACTTAAACTCATATATATACACACAGCCTCGAAAAAATTGTAAAATTAAAGTTATAGTGAACAATAAGATGCCTTCAAAATCGTTTATTGAACGATGCAAATGGATAACAATAGCAGTATTACATTACATGACAGGCTTGTGACTCCACAAAATTTGAATCAAATCATAAGAAAATAATTCTAATGTTAATAAGTAAGAGTTACATACCGAGAACGGAGGCAATCAGCCTAATACATCCCGAGGGCYGTAGGCCCGAGGGATGTATAGGCTGATTGCCGACGTTCGAGGTATGTAACTGGCTTATTTCATACTTGAAGAAGTTTTTCAAGCACTGCATTAATATTTTCATTTTTAAATAGGCAAAGAAGCCGTTTTCATATGAATTAAAAACCAAACCCTCGATTAGAAAGATTACGAAATTTACAGTATTGAAAATTCCCAACGGGAATAATTTGCATAACCAATTTTCTCGTTAGTCCCATGAGACCAATGCTAACAATGCACCTTTTGTAACAAGTAACTGGACAATGTTAAATGACTGTTTTATTCCATAACTGACATCGATTAGTCAGTTAGCATAACGTGTTAAGTATAGGATTTTCAAAGCTAAGGTTGTGGGTTCGAATCCACTTGGCGTCATTTGAATTTTTCTTTCTTTCTTTCAAGTTTAAAGTTTCAGACGGAAAATTTCTAAGTTGAACGTAGTAGTTAATTAATTAGGTATTCAAGGGCAATATATAGGGGGCGATATCTAGATATATCCCTGAAACTTCGATATAAAGCACTTGAATACACAACGAGCTGGGGAATAAGCGAGATACAACACTACGAATAACAAAGAAAACTGAATCAAGTATGAAATAATGACGATTAAACTTTGCAAAGTGCTATTTCAAATCGCTCACTTTTTACCCAATCAGAATACAGTAATCATCAAGGGTGATTAAACATTTACATGGAAAGCATGCGCAATTTTAGACCATAATATTTTACTACTTCTACAATCAGCTCATTAATAGACTACGTACATTTATTTTCAAAAAGTCGTTTGACCGTAGTTGTGTTTTAAAGGCGTAGGAGAAATAAACAGTTTACAAGCTGAAAGCTGATCTAATTCTCATATTCTTTGAAAATTTAAACTTTTTACTCTGAATTGGAATACAGGTTAAAATAGACAGAACCACAACAGAGCGAATGAAGAATTGCTGTTGAACTTGAGAATGCGTATATACCTTTATCCTAAAAGCTCTCATGGATGAGCTACTTTACCGTGACGACAACATATTTCTGATTCTAGTTTGGTCTATATTTCTTTTATCATGAATAAATAACATCAACCGTAATCGGCACGACTTGCAAATATAAAATTTCCTCAGGTCACAAACAATAGAGTACTCAAGTGATGATGTCACAAAACGAAAATGTTTGAGTTTTCAAATTTCCTCCATATTCTGAAAGTGCATTATTTGTAATGTATCCTTTCGTTATGAACAAAACCAAATTTACAAGCGTTTGTATGTGGTCACCCGACCATAAAATCGCTTGTATCTCCGCTATAAATGGCACTAAGACACTGAAACTTGGTRGATAGCAACTTTTTTTCTATGCGCTTTAAAGATATTTCAACGAATCC